ACTCGGGAGCCATTCAGGAAGGGATACGGTGGGACGAGACAAACCCACTCACAAAAACGAAAGAATTGACTCTTCGCATCTTAGAAAAGTTTGAATGAATTCATTAGATAGTGGAGTCCTTTATAAGCTGGGGAAGTTTCTCTTGCTGTGGACACACAATTAATTTTTCAGACAATAGACAGTAGAAGGATGGGCTGGATTCAAACTTCCCAACCTTAAATTTTACAGCACCTCTTGTTGTGTATATGTACAAATCCAGTCCTGGTTGTGGATGACGTTCCATTCTGGCCTGACAGTAATGTTTCTAATTAATGTTCCACCATGAAAAGGTAGATATCCCCACTGAGGTGTCAAACTGTGACACAGGGCGGCAGTTTCTCGCTAACAACAGATGTACGTCCATTCATCAGACAGAGCATGGCTCCAGTGTGAAACCTGGAGAGAGATTAGCTAATGTCTCCATGGACCTGTTCTTCATCCCCTGCCCACTCTGATGACAAATAAATCCAGCAAGAGGCGTTGGATTCCCTCCCGTCCACGTTGAATGATTCGACCAGGGGCGAGGTTCACCCTCAAAAAAGCAGATTACGGTTCATTATATCATGTAAGGCCATTCAAATAAATGAAAAATATAAAAACGAATGTTTTAATCCAATTGGATAATAATGTATGCTATCTACTATATAGTTAATGAACGATACCACTTTACAGAAGGAGTAGTCAGACGGTAATTGCTGCTAAGTAGGAGTGCTCACAAAATTTTACCTCTCAATATAATTAGTACCATATAGAGAGGGAAGTCATGAAAGGTGTCAACTTTGCCTAAAGACGCAAAACTGCAAAGGTCAGCGTTTGACAGTTGTCTGAAATACCTTTTGTTTCAAGTCCTTCACAGTTCACGACACTAGCTCTAATAGTCTTGGAACTGAGGAGGCCTGTCCCTTGACCTTTGGAAAAGGAAGGTTTCTTGTTCGTTAAAGGATTTTCGTTGGTTTTACACAGAGCACCGAATCTTTTAATTTTGTGACGTTTTTGGGTCACAGGTGGGCCTGTCGAGCATTTTGACTTCTCTACTGACCCAAGTTGTTGTTTGCTATAACCATGGCATTAATCCATCAAGAAGGGAGCATCTCGAGCTCGAGACAGAACACGAATGATAGATTTCTAAATGCTGATGATGAATCTGGGAGCAGAACGGCTTTCCCCTTTGCCTCAATCCATTTTAAATGAGCTTTGGATCAGTGTCCTTTCTGGGTTACATTGGCATATGGCTACTTAATAGTTTTAACCCACAATTATGGATGTCATAGAATATTATGCTCACAGTCAATGATTTCAGATTCTTTACATTTTATTTTATTCATTAATTCTTTTTTTTTTTGGTGCAGTACTGCCGAGGACATCCACTTTTGAGTGATATATCACACACCACAGTTTGTAATTCCCAGCTGGTACTTTCATTGCCCTTTTCAAACTCGCCTCTAATAAATATCTATTCCATAAACCTTGAGTCCCACGGTTGGTTCCATGTTCTATGTCATTTAGACAGCTAAGCAGTGGATATTGTACTGTATATAGGCTGCTGTTGACCAAAATTAGCAAGTTATTTCCTATTCATCTGTTATTTAAATGAAGGTTTTGTTTCCTTACTGATGGTCAAGTTGTTAAAGACAAATAGGAAATGAGAATTTCCAACTGTGTGAAATTTTAAGAACACCATTGGGAGATATCTGGCACAGGATTATAAGCGATTTTATATTTCCTGTGTTATAATGGCAGGCATAAGAACAGCAATTAACAGCACAGCAGAGAGCATGAGCAACATCATTTTTAAATAGTTTCTTCTGAGATGCAGCAAATGCAGCAAATGTTTTCAGGATTAGCTAGAAGTGGATAATTCATACTACCCATATCTGAATCTGAACAGTTCTCAAAATAAGGTATTCTTTAATGTTTAGGGCCCCAAATTAAGCATCAGGCTTTTCCTCTGATATATTTTAAGTAAGTCACTATGTCATTATAGTATGTAAGCTGATAGTAATCCTATTTGAAGATGGGAAGGTTTATGAAGAAAATCTGTCAGTCTTGAAGGAGAAGTAACACAATGAGCCATTTCCAGCCATAAATATTGTTGTGAAATCACAGCAATGCAGTGGTTTTTATCTTTATTATGAGGTGAGTTTCTACTATATTCTGAACAAAACCCAAACTGCTGCCAAGAAAGGAAATGTTCTATGACAAAATTCAAATAAAACCAAACTACAAAGGAACAGCAAACTTAGACAAAGAGAGTAGAAAGTAAGACCAACTCAAGCCAAAAAATAAAATGGTCATTAAAGCCCTGGGACACAGAGCTAAACATTAACTTAACCAAGCTAACACAGAGAACCAGACATCTTTAATCTTCAGCAACATGACAGAAGCCTACAGACCATGACGATGTTCAATGTTGCTAAAATACTCATCAGAAATGGCTTGTTTCTGTAAATGTTTTATGTAATTCCCTCTTGGTGTGACTTTTGTAAAATTTTTGCTCATGTTTTTTTGTCTCCTCCGAGAAAACATGAGCATTTTATTAAAAGCATTCAGTGGGTTGCACCAGGCGTACTGCTTATAAATAGTTTCTGTTTGTGTGCTGAAGATTTGGCCAGAGGGAGGGATGAGAAGCAAAAGAGCCCTGCGTAGAGAGGACCAGCAACTGGAGATGATCATCCCCAATTAATTTCAGGTCTTTGGCCGCAACTCTGCAGTTTGAAAGTGCATCCTTTAGCTTTAAATTGTGACCGATAGACTTGGACTCTACTTTTACATGCGCATCTTTAAAAATAACTTTTTCACTCATTATAGAATACGTTCAGCTTGCTGACCAGGTGTAATCCCGTCATGACTGGCGTTCTTTTAAAAAGCTGCCTCAGCATGGACTCTCCAGAAGTGTGCACCATCTGTTAGCCCGAGAAGGGAAAGGCTGGGAGAGAGACCGGCAGGTCGAAAATCTATCTTTAATTGAACTGAAAGGAGGGAGAGAGACGACGGGTAATGTAAAATGATGGAGCGGGGCTTTGCTCGGGAAAATGTGAACACCGGTGTCAACAACAAGCCACAGCTGTCGCATTATACTTTTAGAAGCTCTTGCCACAAGAAATGAACCACCAATTTTTTGCAACCGAGCATAAATAACTTGTTAACTCAAACCGTGGTTGGGTTAGTGGTTGTAAAGATTCAGACTAAAGCCAAGAGAAATAACTCAACCAAAAACTTTCTGTAACTTTTAACCAACGTTTGATTAAAGGCAAAGATGGAGCGTATAAAAATTTCAAATCACCTAATTCACCTCAGGGGTAACGATTTAATACAAATTCATTTAAAATTACATTACATATTACCTGTCATATTTTTAGTCAGACAGTCTTGTATGTGCACCAATTTTGCTCATTATGACTCCTTGCCGTATTGGGTATATTATAGTTACTTATCAAAATCCCTGCAAGAAGGAAAAAACGAGGGGGTATGGGATTTTGGGGACCACAAATTCTTTGGAATATGCAAACACCTTAAAGTCTATGAAAAATCAATTAATTTTCCTGCTTTTCCTTGGCTGCCGTCTTGATTTACTAGGATAAAGTAGAAGTGTGTGTTTGTGGGTGTGGCTTTGTGTGCCCTCCATGTCCTTTTCAGAATGCATCATGTTCTCATTCATTATATTTTCTATTAGAGCTTTAAATATAACAGTATATAGTCTTGGTCAAACCTGAAAAAATAGAACATGCTAACTCAAACTGATAAGATGAATTATACCTTGATTAAACTTATCTAATCTGTGCCACACAAACACACAACCACATGTGGGCACACACTTTTATTGATCTATTTTTAAAGCACATTAATTTAGCTAATTTAGTTTAAGATTTTCGTTGATTTTTATGTTTCCAATCAACAACTGACCCTGGATTCTGACAGTTTATTATCAATAACTTAAACAACATAGTTGTCTTGCTGAAATAGCCCAAAAGTGTTAAGTCAGGTAACCAATCAGCAACAGATTAACCGCCCCCAGAAACATGCCAGTTGTTAAACTGACTTTTATTACCGATTGAAAAGTTATTCCCAGCAGACCTCATGTTCACTTTGTCAGCAGAACTAAATGTGTTTTGAGTGTCCTAATACATATTGGTGGTTCATTTCTTTCTGTCACAATACACATATTTCAATATTTCAGAGAAGTTTTGTTGTAGTGGCCTGTAAATTGAAGAGCCAACAAAGTGTCCTTCTGTTCTGTCTTTGATCTGGCAGCAAAAAAATAAAATATCATTTCAAAACATTCATATGTCATGTCCCAATGTCATGTTGAATACTTTTATTTTTAAGTTCTAGCTTTGTTTTAACTTGATTAAGCTTCATATTTAAGAAAAATATTAAGGCTGGGTGGAGCTGTTAGTGTACAGGTGGATTCTAAGATTAAAAAAATAAAATGAATTGGGATAGGTCTGACACTTTTTCCATCCCCCCACACCAGTGAAACATGTTTTTCTTTCTGATTCATTCAGCAACCATTCAGCAACCAATCTAATTTCAGTTGAAGAATCTGTTGACTTTAGTGCAGCATTATTTTGGTTTCCTTGACCAGGACTGAAGCTTTCTATGAAGAAATGTAGGGCAAAGGTTTTATTTGATTCCTCGAAACGAATCTTATCACTTTGAAGCAAATGCAAAATCCTAAGAAACCCTTTCACATTGACTTTTCTAAATGCTTAATGTAAAATACTACATTTACTTGGTCAATCCTTGCTCACTTCAGATAAACACCTAATCATAAAACCTTGGTTTTCTGAGAATACACTTTTTCTGTATAATAACCTTTGATGACTAAAAGAGAAACAGCACAATGGTAGAGCACATGATAGAGCTACCATTGTAAATAAGCGGTATAGAAAATGAATGGGTGCTATATGTAAAACAAGTGCCAGGATAAGGTTGAATCTTTTTCTCTTTTTTCACCTCAGTAAAACCAACCGTCATAGATGTGGACATTTTTGTGAACAGCATCGGACCAGTGTCTTCAATAGATATGGTAAGTCAAATTTTGCTTTCTAACATGATATGTTCTTACACAGTTCTGTGGGGAGAGCTTCTTCCCAAAAAGTATGAGATTTATTTGCCAACGTGTAAGGGCAGGTGATAATCAATATTACTTAGTGTTTTTTCACCCACACTTTCTTGTGTAGATGTGAAAGTATTTATCTTCATCTCTAGGAAAACGTGGTGTCTTATGACCCAATTATTGTTTAAATGTTGTTGTTCCACTTTCTGTGGCATATTCTGTCACGACCACTGGTCCGGGCAACAGAGAACCCAAAAGCACGACAAGGCAAACAGGCAAATATTGTGGGAAAACGCTTTACTCAGTCCAAGAAACAGGCAGGGGTCAAAACCAGGAGATCAGCTGAAGAGGCAAACAAATCCGACAAGGGGCAGGCAGGTATCCAAAATCCAGTGAGGCAAACGAGAGGTCAAGACGGGCAGGCAGAACAAGAAAACGCTGGAATGCTTGGAACTGAATGACACAAGACAATCTGGCAGGGGACAAAGTGGAAAGGGAGTGGTATTAATACTGGAGGCCAAATGAGTTAATGAGCAGCAGGTGAGGAGATGGGCGGAGAGAAGCAGGTGAGGGGGAATGAGTAATTGCATGACAGGGAAGGGCCGGATCTGAAATGACAGGAGAATTAATTATCAAAACCAAAACAAACTTGATGCTGAGGTAACTACGTTACAGAACCCCCCCCTCTAGGGGCGGCTCCTGCCGTCCCATGCGGTTGATCAGGATTAGCTTTGTGGAAGTCCTTAATGAGATCTGGGTCCAGGATGCTTCGAGCGGGGACCCATGAGCGTTCTTCAGGCCCGTACCCCTCCCAGTCCACCAGATACTGCACTCCCCTGCCCCGTCGGCGGGATTTTATGAGCCGACGTACAGTGTACGCAGGCGCCCCATCGATGAGCCGGGGGGGTGGTGGGGGTTTGGAAGGAGGCATAAGTGGACACTCATTAACCGGTTTGACCTTGGAAACATGGAATGTGGGATTAATCTTCATGGAAGATGGAAGACGAAGACGGACAGCCACAGGATTAATTATCTTAGATATAGGGAATGGGCCCACAAAACGGGGAGCCAACTTCTTAGAATCAACTCTGAGAGGAAGATCCCTTGCAGATAACCAGACACGTTGTCCGGGGGAGTACCTGGGTGCCGGATTGCGATGTCGGTTGGCTGATCGACGGTAGCGATCCGAAGAGCGTAGGAGCGTAGCACGGGCCTGCATCCAGGTGCGTCGACACTGACGGATGAATGCCTGAACAGAGGGAACACTGGCTTCTCGTTCTTGCTCGGGAAAGAGTGGCGGTTGGTAGCCCCGAGAGCATTGGAAGGGTGACAAACCAGTGGCAGAACTGGGCAGGGTATTATGAGCATACTCAATCCAAAGGAGCTGCTCCGACCAGGAGGAAGGGTTGCGGGAAGCAAGACAGCGCAGGGCCGTCTCCATCTCTTGGTTCATGCGTTCGGCCTGACCATTGGATTGAGGATGAAAACCTGATGACAGGCTGACCGTTGCCCCCAGCAACCTGCAAAACTCGGACCAAAAACGAGAGGTGAATTGTGGTCCCCGGTCAGAGACCACATCTGACGGGAGACCATGCAGCCGGAACACATGTTGTAACACTAAGTCAGCCGTTTCCTTGGCGGTGGGTAACTTTGTTAGAGGGATGAGCCTGGCACATTTGGAAAAACGATCGATGACGGTGAGAATTACTGTGTTACCCTTAGAAGGTGGTAGGCCAGTGACAAAGTCCAGAGATATATGTGACCAGGGGCGGCGAGGAACAGGAAGCGGATGCAGGAGACCGGATGGAGCTTGGCGAGAGCCTTTGTGTTGAGAGCAGACCTGGCAAGCTGCAACAAACTCCCTGGTATCCCTTTCCATGGAAGACCACCAGAAGCGTTGTCGGAGGAGGGCTAGGGTGCGTCTCACCCCAGGATGGCAAGCCAGACGAGAAGAATGTCCCCACTGGAGGACCTCAGAACGGAGGTTATCTGGAACAAACAGTCTGTTCTCTGGACAAGAATTAGGAGCGGGGTGTTCGGTGTGGGAGCGTTTTACTTTGTCCTCCACCTCCCAGGTTACTGCCCCGACCACACATACAGGGGACAGGATTCCTTCAGGTTGGGATGGGGAGTCCTCCGACTGGAACTGACGCGACAGAGCATCGGGCTTGACGTTTTTGGAACCTGGTCTGAATGAGAGGGAGAATTCGAAACGATTAAAGAAGAGAGCCCACCTTGCTTGACGAGAGTTTAGTCTTTTGGCTGATCGGATGTACTCCAGGTTCTTGTGGTCAGTCCAAACCACAAATGGCTGGTTGACCCGCACAGGTGAAGCAGCAGGCCGAACCCTCTCCCTCCGCCGCTCCCGTAGACGACCGTCTATGCGGATGGCGAGAGAGACAAGCGCGTCCAAATCAGCAGGAAGGTCGCGGGCCGCCAGCTCGTCTTTGATGTCATCGGAGAGGCCGTTGTAGAAGGCATCGAAGAGCGAAGCAGGGTTCCAGTTGCTTTCAGCTGCTACTGTGCGGAACTCGATGGAGTAGTCGGAAACAGACCTCTCTCCTTGTGCCAGGTTAAACAAGCCCCTAGCTACCTCTCTGCCCGGCGTGACGTGGTCGAAGACCTTTCGTAGTTCCTCAGAGAAGAGCTTGACAGATGAGCAGATGGGGGATCCCTTCTCCCACTCTGCGGTGCCCCAGTCCCTAGCTCTGCCGGCAAGCAGAGAGACGATGTAGGCCACCCGGGACCTCTCGGTAGGGAAAGCAGAAGGCTGGAGTTCAAAGGCCAGAGAACACTGCACGAGAAAAGGTCGGCAGCTACCCGGAGCTCCAGAATAACGCTCTGGAGGAGGCAGACGGGCATCCGACACAGGAGTCTGCCTAGGGGGACTGACAGACGGGGCAGGTGCAGGCCTCTGATCTGAGAGGGACAGTCTTTGGAGAAGTTCATGAATACTCCCCAAGCTCCTCTCATGACGAGCCGCCACCTCCTGTAGACTGCCTGAGATGGAGGTAAGTTGTTCGTCGTGACGCTGAAGAGCGCCGGCCTGTGCTCTCAGCTCATGGCAGATGGTGTCCTTGTCGGCTGGGTTCATGGTGGCCAGATTGTTCTGTCACGACCACTGGTCCGGGCAACAGAGAACCCAAAAGCACGACAAGGCAAACAGGCAAATATTGTGGGAAAACGCTTTACTCAGTCCAAGAAACAGGCAGGGGTCAAAACCAGGAGATCAGCTGAAGAGGCAAACAAATCCGACAAGGGGCAGGCAGGTATCCAAAATCCAGTGAGGCAAACGAGAGGTCAAGACGGGCAGGCAGAACAAGAAAACGCTGGAATGCTTGGAACTGAATGACACAAGACAATCTGGCAGGGGACAAAGTGGAAAGGGAGTGGTATTAATACTGGAGGCCAAATGAGTTAATGAGCAGCAGGTGAGGAGATGGGCGGAGAGAAGCAGGTGAGGGGGAATGAGTAATTGCATGACAGGGAAGGGCCGGATCTGAAATGACAGGAGAATTAATTATCAAAACCAAAACAAACTTGATGCTGAGGTAACTACGTTACATATTCTGTGAAAATTCACTTTTCTCATGTAGCTTTCCGCACAGTCAAAAGCCCATTTCACAAAAGTTTGAATGCTGTATTGTGTATTGCATGTATTGTAGATTTTCCAAAGACATTTTACATGAAAATTTGCAATAGTTCATCATTTTTAAGCATACTAGCATAATTCATGGCACTAGTACGTGTATCTATTTAAGAAGTGCATCGCTTGGTTTTGCTAGCATGTTCTGCCTCATAGTGGATGTTTCCATCAATATTTTTTCACTTATTTTGGCTTTTTAAACCCTTATGTTCAACTGTTTGATCACTATTTCGCATTGCTCCATGAGCAGCATCACTATTGGATATCACTTGGCTCAAGTGACACATCTGCATGTGTCATTGAATAATAATATTTAATCAAATATGAAATAACTTCAAATACTTACTTTAATAGGCCTGTTTTGTGTGTCGACACTGGGACTGATGTTTAATTTAGTTGCATCTTCTGTTTAAGATGTGCGAGTGGGGTAGCAAGTGCTTATGATTAATCTAATTTGAAGCCACCTGATCATGTAGCACATATTAAGTACTACCACAGCAAGCAGTTAATCACCCTCCCTTCCACGTGTTTATTTTAAATCCCATTGTCGCTGAATTCATTTACAGTAATATCACTTGTATTGTTTCTAATTACACTGCTCGCTATGATTCAGGGTGTCATGACTTCACCAGCAGACAGATGGTGATTAATTTCTTTATGAGAAAATGCGCGAGCCCTCTTAAAGAGACAGCTACGATTAAGACAGTTGGACAGTTTTTTTTAAATATGTTTTTTTTTAGGGGAAATCCTTTCCGTTAGATCAATAAATTATTGTGCTGCGTCATTCAGATTTTCTTGTCTGACTGGCTTGTTTTACCGGGAGGATTATTATAACAACTGAGCTTTTTAAAAAATTAGAATTGATGTTATTTTTTCCTAATAACTCTGATACCTTACTTAATTACTGCCTAAGTGCGTATATATTCACCCAGGCGTATATGTATACACACTGCCCTTCACAAATGTCTGCAATTACTCCTTTTTCTTTACATCTAGAGAAGCCCAACTTACATCAGGCTACGTTCCCATGAAACTTACTTGGCTATAGAGTATTATAAACACTCACCAATTACTTGCGACTTAAAAATGAAGGGATAAAGTAAATCATGGATTACCCTCGAAAAAAAACACAAGTAGGTTAAGTTTGTTAAGCTTTAAGCAAGATGTTATGTTGAACAAGGAAGGATGTTTTTAATGATAAAAGAGGGTAATTGTAGGAATGTGGAGTCAGATGAGCCTAAAGCCAAAGTGGCTGACTCTTTTTCTGTGTAATGGATGCAAAGCAAGAAATAAAAAGTTAAAGTTTTAGTAATGAAGTAATCAA